CACAGCACTCACTGTAGCCTGGGCATCAATGCGAGACTCTGTCTCAAAAAGAAAAGATGTACAATGGGTGCAGCTGCAGGGACCTTCCTTTGCCCCTGGTGTTTTCTTAAACCTATCTAGGCTTTTTGCTGCATAGTCAAAAAGCCACTACACTGAGGACAGTGGAAATATAGAAAACCAACAAGAACACTTCTTCAGATGCCTAGTGCAGGGAAGATAGCAGACAGTTGCTGGAAAGAGGTGAACAAATGGTTGAATGTGACAGGTCACTGCAAGAGTCACATGCATGTCTCAGAAAAAGAGATCCTTCGGGAATAGATTGGAGAGTCATGTGACATAGTTGTGTCTCTGAATCTGTAAATGGTGATGGCGTATTTCACCTGCAGGTGGAAGGGGGTAAAGCAAAGCTTGTTCTGAAACTCAATGCTCTGTACAGATAAACTAGAGCCTTGAGCTGCACAGGCAAGCTTAAAAGGAAAGGACTTAAATGATCACTCTTATAGGACCAAAGGTTATTTCAATATACATTAGTGTTGTGGAACTGCAGGCTAGGTCTGGCAAAGCATGGGCAAGAAATAAAATGTTGACAGATACCAAAACTTTATTACTTCTAATATTTATATTTGTCTTACAGCTCATTTTGACAAGCCCACAGGAAGCTTAGGATCCATTGGATAATAAATAATGAAAAAAATGGGTCCTAAATCTTAGAGTTTCTTATGACTAAATGCTGATTTATAGTAAGAATCTTTTATTCATTTAAAATAATATTTATTAAACACAATCTCTGAAGTTCTGTGGGTGCTATTATCAACTCCAAGTTGCAAACTTATTCTTGATCAGTGCTGCCTAAAAGAAATATAATGCAAGCCACATGTGTCATTGAACATTTTCTAACAGCCACATAAAAAGGAGTGAAAAGAAACAGGAGACATTTACTTTTAGTAATATATTTTATTTAACCTTAACTACCAGCTATTATCCATTAATGGTAAGACTATTATCATTTTAATATGTAACTGATTATTATTAATCAACTATTATTTCTTAATGATAAAACTATTATTTCAACATGCAATTGATGACATAAATATTCATATATTGCTTTTTTTTTGCTAAGTTTCCAAAATCTAGTGTGTATTTCACACTTGCAGCAGTAACAATTGCTGAATTTTCAATGGTTAAAGTGAAATGTAGTCCTATGAAAAAAATAAAGCTGTGTTTGATAGAAAAAAAATATTTTATGCTGCCTCCATTTCTAAGTTGACATTTAAATGAGTGAAAATGAAATAAAACTAGAAGTTTAGTTTTCTTCCTTTTCACCAGCCATATTTCAGGCACTCATTATCCGCATAAATAGTAGCTGCCATATTGGACTGTGTGGATTTAGAGCATTTTGCATAATCTCACAAAATGGTGAAATTAGCTGAATTACTCAAGTCTTTCATTATAAGATTCTATCGCCAAGGAAGAATGCTTGTCTTAGGGCAAAAGATGGAGTGCATTTAGGACTGAAGGTTTATTTCTAGAACATGGGTTTGTGATTAGATATTTCAGCTGCTTTAAGAAAGAAGTTGAGTAACTGAAATACTTAAAATCAAAGGAGAAAAATCCAACTGTGTGCCAACTCACCAACAAACTGTTTTAACACATTTTTATTTATCAAGAACTTGAAACTATTTAAAGTAATGGCATAAAACTTTAACAATTCATGTATTATAATTATCTACAATCTTAGGAAGTAGGATCTATAAATTTTAAGAGGTTTAGATTTTTTAAAGTGATCCTAAGTAGGGAACATTTAATCTTACCTCCATCATGTCATAAATCTTGTTGTTCTTCATTATGGTTGAGAGACCATAAATAAACTTTTAATATGCCTACATTTTATCATTGACATTTATGATATGTTTTTGTATATTTTGACAAAAAATGCCAAGGTAGAAGGAAAAAGCTCTCTTGTATTTGCAACAGTAATTAATGTTGACATCTGTATTTATGTATCACAAAATCTTGTGTAAACATACTTCAGTGGGGTCACAAGAATGTTTTAAATAAATGTACCAAGACATCCTACCTAGAGTGTCATTTACAACAAAATAATAACATAAAGTGGACCAGCTAAGCACACGTTTTAACAACATTTAGCAGCCTCTATGGAAATGGTAGTATCCATCATAAGTTTGTGCTCCAAACCATTGTTTAATATAAGAGTTCCATTTTAAGGTGCTGAAGTTTTGCTAACAATTCTGAAAATCAGATTCACCATTTATGTATGAGTTTTTAAATAAGGATTTCCACGAACTATTTTACAATAGTAAATATTGTAAAAAAAAACTATTAGAAAAAACTAATAGTAAAAAAAAAACTATTTTACAATAACCACCTTTGGAATTATACTACGAAATACTACTCTCTTACAGACGTAAGTTATAGAATCGGGCATTAGTTGCATGACATGCAAATGTCAAAGTTCATTGGTAAGCCAAGAAGGTATTCAAAATATTGAATGATTTTTTTTTCTATTGCATTGTAGTGACTCAGTGTTCAGTCATAGGTCCTTGAATCATGCAACCTTTCCATCGACTCTGAACATGACAAGAGTCACGATGCACGAGGAGTTTGTTACAAACACAGACACTATGCAAATAGCAGATGGGGATCGTGATTTTCTTCCGTGTGTAAAACTAATGCAGGTCTCAAGAAATGGTTGAATTCTGATCATTTTGGAAAAGGCATACAAACAAACTAATCATTCCACACAAGAGTCGAGGAAAACAAGCAAACAGTATTAATATTTAATCTCAATGTGAAAGAACGAAATGAGAGACTTTCTCTAGGGACAAAAGGGAGCTCTGATGAGTTCTCTCAAATCAAGCTGCAGAAAGGCTGTTCCCGCACGACATAACTAACTTTGTACTAGAAAGATCTACTCCAGTGAGTCAAATACGGGGAGACTTGAAAGCACCTCCATTGAATGTTTTTCCAATAACCTTTACATAATTGACATGGTAAATCATCTACATCAAATAAAAAGTCTGTTTTTTTTCCTTCTTCTTCTTGCAATTTAGTAACGGGGGAGGCAGGCCTGGAGGAAGCATGTATCAGATCGTTTTGAGGCTCTTTTGAGATGAGTTGAGAACAGCAGGCTGTCACCTGCGGCCAGCCCAGCAAGATGCAGCCCTGTTGATGGAATGGACTGGAACATGTGTTTCTGTTAGGGAACACGTGCTCGGAGAAAACAAAAGGGCCCAGATTTATTTCCCTTAGAGATACAAGCCTTTGAACCTCCTTGGATGAACTCTCTGTACTAAAAACCCAAAGCCTCTGTTTTCTAGGTTGAACATAAATCCAACCTACAGCAGACGTCTCTGGAGGGTAAGAGGGGTGGTCTAAATGAAGAAAGATGCAGCAGGGCTTGCTTTAAAACATCACCAAAGTTTACTGAAATCATCTGGGTGAATCTTAATGGCCATTTCCAATTTGGGCTTACTGGACGTGGCCAGAGAAGGTGACACATTTTGGGAAGGTTACTAACGTTTTTTGAGACTAGACTCTTAGCTTGTTCTAGGTATTACACAATGCTAGCTGCTTTATATACACAATACTCTTAATTGTCTTAACAATTCCATCAGTTGGATGTGGCTAACAGCCTGAGAGAAATAACGTGACTTCTCCTGGGTTTCCTAATTAGAGCAAGGTGGAGCCAGGGTTAAGCCCAGGTGACTGTATCTTCAAAACCTTGGATTTCCTCTAGGCCACCTGCCTGTGCTAGAAGTCCTCAGCCCTAGCTCCCCTGCACAACTGTCACTTGGGGAACATTCAAAGCACAGCACCAGGGCCCCACCCTGGACCTATTTAATCCTAGGATCAGGGGGGAGGTCTTAGCAGGTACCTATTTTTAAAGTTGTGTGCGTGATGGTTCTACTGCACACTCAGGTTGAGAATCACGAATCAGTGGATTAATTTAAACTACTCCAAGTAGATTAGGCTAGAAAGATTAAATATTACAATTAAGTCTTAAGGTGGAGGCTAGACGCGGATGAGTACAATATGAATTCACATACCATCTAAAGCAACAGAGCTTCTCGAACTTTACTGTGTATGCAAATGCACTGATGATTTGGATTCTGACTTGGCAGGAATGGAGAGAGGCCAGGTTCTGTGTTTCTAACAGTCCCCCGGGTGATGCTTATGCTACTGGTCACAACCACGCTTTGAGTTCCAAGGACCAGGGGACCAAGAGTTCAAGTTGGGTGTTGTAAATATCCACCGAACGACCAAGAGATAAAGGCTGAAATCTTTAATTTTTTTTTTTTTTCAGAGCATTCTGTTTTTCAGAAGTCTCTGACCACCTTCAGAAATAACCGAAAAGGCATAGTTTTGGTAACGGTGCCTGCTGAACCCCCGCATCCCATTCCTCCCTCCTCTCTGTGTGGCCGTGCCAGGTTGCCGAAGATGTGAGAAGTTGTTCTGTGACAGATATTTGGCTGCCAGTAACATTTAATAGCCTCAATTTTTAAAAATGACATTTCATTCAACTGAAACCCATAATGTACTCCCCCCATCATAGTTAGGAATCTTCTCGTAGAAATTAACAATGACCGTCCAAAGTCACGAAGTTGGTCTGCGACCCTCTTCTTAAGGAGAAGTCTCTTCCCTCCCCACCTGACTCACCATGCTGTGTTTAAAATGAAAGAATCAGTATGATTTTGTTCTAACAATAATTGCTATCTATCTGGCATTTCTCTGAAATAAAATGTCTTGATTAAAAATGGTACTCGTCCTGCCCCGTAATTTTTTGGGGTAGAAATTTATATGGAAATTTAAAAAACCAGACCAAAAGGCACTAGGAAATTTCCAGTAAGAAAAGAGTGAGTTGAAGACAGACACGTTTCTCAAGTCATTGTAAACACTCAAACCTAACACAAGTTGGACAGTGATTTTTAAGAAATTATTCCAATTAAATCGTGCCCATATATATTTGTAAAGATACTCACTGCTATGCTTCCTTCGGGGAGCTTTGCTGGCTGGTCTTTATAAGGCATCTTCTTAACCTCGAAGGACACCAGTGACACAAGAGCATAGGGATCATTTTTTCTCTGAAAGTAAAAAAAAAAAAAATTCCTTAAATGTATTTCTTATAAAGCTTTTAACAGTTATACTGGCCACCACCCAATTGTTTTCCATTTCCAAAGTCAAATCTCAAAAGGCAAGGTTTTTACCATTCTTTCAGCAGACCAAAAAAAAAAAAAAAAAAAAAAAAAGAAAAGAAAAAAGAAAAAAAAGCATATTTTTCATTAAAAAATACAGTGCCCTGGAGCTCTAAGGAATGGGAAACCTGGGTTACTAGACTATGATCAGCTGAGTTGGCATCAGGGCTGTGCTGGTTTTGCACGGTAGGTCAAAGGCATGGCATAGGTGAGTGTTTAATTCAGGAAAAACAATTATGGGCAGAGCCATGATATGGATCCCCTGTCCAAAGCTGAATGCTTCCAGTTGTGCTCTTTATATAACAACTGTATTATTCTTACATTAAAAATAATCTCCTCTTCCATACAGCAATCAACTCATGTAATAGCAATCACCGGCATATTATAGGCAATTTAGGACTGAAAAACCAACTGGGGTTAATATCCCTTGACAACATCTTGAACTTTCATCTTGCCCCAGCTAGCTAGTAATCCTCAGAAAATGCCCTGTTTTTCTGCCATTTCTGCACCATTTAAACCGTGGTTTGTAGCCCATTGGCTGCCTCGATGCTGTACTTGATTTTCTTGCACAATGATTTTCTTGTGGTCATGGTACTAAATAAAAGTGAGGGCTGTCAATCAATGGAAAGGAAATGAGGCTTTTGAGTTGGTGACATGCCTATTGTGGCTGGCAATGTCAACAGCTCTCACTGTCCCACCTGCTAGCTGCTTATTTCCTTCTCAGTAATTATTTCCTAAGCAAAAAATCCATTTTATGTAGCCCATACTTAAATACTCAACGCTTACCAGAAACCAAGTCTTTGGAGGTGACAAAACCTAAGCAATAACTGGTCAACTTTTCAGCTGGAAAGGAGGTTTTGGTTTCAAGCAATAATCACAGCACAGGGGATCATTTAGGATAAAACTAAATAAAAATCTTTTTTTTTTTTTTCTGGTCTGTTCATTCCCTTATCTTCTTAAGAAAAGGGGGGAAAATGTTACAGAGAAATGGCAGATGGTTTCTTGAACTGTCTTTCATCAAATTGAGAACTTCAGGTAAAATAAAAGCTTTTGAGTTCAAGAAAAAGCTTATTTTAACAATATAATAATTCAGAGAATCCAGTTATTAGCTTCCTAATGATAAATTACCATCTGAGTCTCTCATCAATTATCTTATTGGCATGCATTTATTGGCACTACAGTTTCTTCAAAGACTGAAAAACAAAAATTATGTCACTTTAACACTGCAACAATGTCATAAATTTGAAAATTGTAATTGGCCTTTTCAGATTAAATTCTACTTTTCATAAAAAAACATAGGCTTCTCCTGAATGCCAATTTTTCTGACTACCCAACTTTTTTTCATGCTGGTTTGCATGGTCAGCACATGGACAGAAACAAACATCGTGAAGGGAGTCATGTCAACCAAGAATTGTAACCTTTCTAGCTTGGATTAGAAAGACAGAAAATGTTTATGCTTTTCTGGGTTGTATGACAGAGCTGTTAAAAGACCCCAATATATAGTATATTCAGAGAGAGAGGAGGAGAGAGAGAGAGAGATTGCAATAATGCATTCCCCTTTGGCATTTGGCTTTCAAGGCTAAAATAAACAGAAACTGTGGAATTACAGAAATTTGGCCTGAGGATGTGGCTAAGCCCACAGTGACTCGTGCATTCTTCTATATCTCTGGAAGTGACTCTTTTTCTTGGAATGACTTCAGTGTGTCCCTATAGATTGTTCTGGTCTGACTCTACTTGTGCTAAATATTCATTGTTCCAAAATTCCTCCATTACTATTGACTTTTTCCAGACATTGAGTCTTCTTAAACAGGAAAGTGAAGATGTAATTTTCACTCTATCAGCCTCCTACTGGAATAGAATGTTATGCATAGAACTGAAGCCTGCAGGTTAGAATAATCATTCTTCCCTCGACTGTAGTGTTGTCATGATGGGAATCCTGCCTCATTGAAAAGTTGTTCTTCCTCATTATGGTTGTCATGCAGAATGTAAGGGCTTGGGAATTCATTAGGACACTCCTCTTCTCTCTCTTAGGTAAGAAGTAACAGCCAAAAAGTAGTGACCATCAGCAAATTGATGACATGTAAGTGGTTCAGTCATCCTTCTGGCTATTCTGTTAAAAAGTTGTGTAGGCCAGGTGTGGTGGTTCATGCCTGTAATCCTAGTACTCTGGGAGGCCGAGGCGGGTGGATTGCTCGAGGTCAGGAGTTCAAGACCAGCCTGAGCAAAAGCGAGACTCCGTCTCTACTAAAAATAGACAGAAATTAGTTGGACAACTAAAAATATAAAGGAAAAAAAATTAGCTGGGCATGGTGGCTCATGCCTGTAGTCCCTGTACAGGGACTCATGCCTGTGTAGCTACTTGGGAGGCTGGGGCAGGAGGATCGCCTGAGCCCAGGAGTTTGAGGTTGCTGTGAGCTAGGCTGATGCCACAGCACCCCAACCTCAGGCAACAAACTGAGACACTGTCACAACAACAACAACAAAAATAGTTGTGTAGTTAGAAAATTGGCATTCAGGAGAGGCCTATGTTTTTTATGAAAAGTAGGATTTAATTTGAAAAAGGCCAATTACAATTTTCAAATTTATGATATTGTTAATGTGTTACAATGACATAATTCATAATTTTTGTTATTGTTTAGTCTTTGAAGAAACTGTAGTGCCAATAAATGCATGCAATAAGATAATTGATAAGACACTCAGATGGTAATTTATCATTAGGAAGCTAATAACTGGATTCTCTGAATTATTATATTGTTAAAATAAGCTTTTTCTTTCTTTTATTTTTTTTTTCTCTGAACACTGTTTCCAGTAATAAATAAGCTTTTTCTTGAACTCTAAAGTTTTTTTTTTTACCTGAAGTTCTCAATTTGATGAAAGACAGTTCAAGAAACCATCTACTATTTCTTTGTAACATTTTTCTGCCTTTTTCTTAAGAAGATAAGGGAATGAACAGACTAGTTATGAAATAAATTATACAACAATCAATGTGTAGCTTTCCTGGAAGATAAATTACACTACATCTGCAGAATATTTTTCAAAGCCTCTTTGGAGTACATGCGTGCTCTTCCTGTACATTTCAACTACAGACTAGAGAGAAACTTACTTCTTATTTTTGCAGAGTGGGAGGGAATTTATGATTGGCCACGATCATGGAAACTGCCTCAAAGAAGGTAACAGGGCTCTGATCGGATGTCACTGAGGGTCTCTAGTCTCTGTCCCAGCAAATGAAACAAAGGCGATCAAACACCTCCTCACTTGGACTCTGTCCCTACTTGGTTGGAAGGACTGCAGCTGACAGTTTTCAGGCAACATTTTTTATGACCACACCCCCTGCCCAGTTAAGTCTAAATAGATTACGCCAGCTTCATGGGAAGGGATCTTGCATTGCTCAGACATTTGACACTCTCTCACCTTTGCAAGAGGGCTGGGAACAGATCCAGCAAGACCCGATAGTGCTGGCCATCATTTGAGGCAGGAAATAAAGGGACAACAATGACCCCGTGGACTTGTCTCTGTGCGCTGGGATCCCGAATTGTCTGCTTTATTGAACTAAAAAGAATCCAGTTAGGATGCAGCTCAGAGAAGAGGGGGCAGCCTAATTTTTTTTATTTACTTTTTTATTGATATAGGAAGGTTACACATATTTTGGGGGTACATGTGATATTTTGATACTTGTATACAATGTGTAACGATGAAATCAGGGTAACGGGGCTATCCAGCCCCTCAAACATTTACCTTTGTTTTGGGAACCCTACACATCTTCTCTTCTAGCTATTTTGAAATACACAATAAATTATTGTTAGCTATAAATTCCCTACTGTGCTATTGGATACTAGAATGTACCCCTTCTATCTACCTGCATTTTTGTGCTCATTAACCAACTTCTCTTTTCTCCCCACTTCCCTTCTCAGCCTCTGAGAATCACCAGTCTACTCTCTATCCAAATAAGGTCCACTTTCTTAGCTCCCACATGTGAGTGAGAACAAACAGTGTCTTTCTGTGCCTGGCTTATGTCACTTAACATAATGACTTCCATCCAATTCCATCCATGGTCCCTCCTCAGTTTGGATATCTTGTCCTCTCCACCTGGAAGGCTTCAGTTGGACAGAAGTAAGAAAATGAAATGCTCTCCTCTGCCCGAAATGCCAAAAGTCTTTGCCAGACTCACTAAACCAGAACAGCGTGTGGTTTGAGAGCAGGATGAGGTGGCAGGGACTTGGGAGAAAAGCCAAACGTCACAACAAGCATGAGCTGAAGCTCCTCGTGGAAGACCCTTGCAGGAGACTGGCTGGCTAGACACAGATGTCCACGCAGGTACGACCTTGGAGTCCACTGTGCTTTTGCATCTCAAAGTGACCAGTCAAGGTGGCATTTCCAGAGACTCCAGAGAAAGGTATCAAAAGTCACTTCTTGTTCCTGTTCTTGGGTATCGTACTTTTTTTTTACATTTGCAGAATATCTACTGTTTTTAGGGCTATATGGCTTAGGCCAAGAAGGATAATTTCTTATGATTTTGTTTGTTGGTTAGCTTGATTGGTTTCATTCTGAATAGACAAGGACTTGTGGGCCAGCCAAGCCTAGCACTTGACATTAGATATTATATTCATTAAATATGTGATATTCATAAACAATATGATTAGCTACCCTGGGCCAGGTGCTACAGGAGCCGGGCAGGAGATTCAAAGACAGAGAAAACATTCCTCCTGCCTTTGAGAAGCTCACACTCTGCTGTCAACTATAGATATGTTTTCTGGAAAGCTTCCTCCCCTTCTCTCCCCCAAAAAACTTCTTAACATACTACCACAAGTTTTTTTTTTTCCATGTCATATACGAGAATTGCAGTGTTTTTATTTGCTTAGCAGTTCTGAATCCAAAAGCTTACTTGTATG